ATCAGCAAGCTCGAGGGACATTGTAGTAGATTTCAATTTATCCAAACCCAATTGCAAATAGACATAATATGGCATCAAGTTAATGCTCGCCCCTAAATCAAGCATTGCCTTTTCTTTCTTAGAATTCCCCACTGCAATAGTTATTATGAAACTACCGGGGTCTTCTAATTTTGGGGGCAAGTCAGTTTGTAAAACAGCGCTGACAGTTCTAGACATGAAAACTTTTTCATTATGTTCATACCTACGCTTTCTAGTGTTCAGTTCTTTCAAAAACTTAGCATAGGCAGGCATATTTTTAATCATGTCTAACAAAGGCAAATTCACATGCACTTTTGACAACAAATCATAAATTTCAGAAAATGATTTATCAAATTTTGAATTTTTCAATCTACCAGGAAATGGAACTGAAGGAACATAAGGCTTAGGGGGCACATAAGGGTCAACGGATTTATGCAACTTGGGTTCATCCTTATTAACATCATCAACATGTAAGTTTTCAACTATTTCGGCTGGTCGAGAAGTGGTATTCGCATTATTTTTAATAACTTTACCACTTCTTAAAACAGTCATAACCTTAGCTTTCTCAGGTTGACTAGGTAACTTACCTGGTACATGGCTTTGCATAGATTCGGCGATTTTCCCCACTTGTACTTCCAATTTTCTCATGGAAGCTTCAACTTGTTGAAACCGCTGCTCACTAGCTTCCTGCCGTTTATTGCAAACCTGTATAAAATTGTGCAAAGCATCCTCCACAGATGGTTTTTTGGGTTGAGGCGGAGCAGTTGGTTGAAAATTATTTTGGTTATTACCCCAAGATAAATTAGGGTGATTTTTCCAACCCGGATTATAAGAATTGGAGTATGGGTCATTTCTCAGCCTCTGATTAAAACTGTTCATTGCATTAGCTTGCTCAACATTGTCATTTCCTTCAATCATAGCTGCATTCTTTTGGTTCATACTCATCATGGAACACATGCTTGTCATTTGTTTTGTTAACTCAGACATATAAGTCGTCAATTCAGGATTTGAGCTAACTTCATACAAACCTGGTGTCCGTCCCCTTATGCTCTTTTGTTGGGAGTTTGCTCCTAGCATTTCATACAAAGCTAAGGTTTCCTCCGCAGTTTTTTCTCCCATGGCACCTCCAGCCGCATTATCAACTATCGATTGACAGGCTTGGGTCAAACCATCATAGAAGGTTTGGTTTTGCAGCTCCAATGGGTAACCATGATGGGGGAATTGAATGAGCAACATCTTGAACCTTTCCCATGCCTCATGGAACGGTTCGCCCTCAACTTGCGAGAAAGTTGCAATTTTCCTTCTTAATTCCGCAGTTTTAGCATGAGAATAGAATTTACTTATGAATTTATTGTACACTTCTGGCCATGTTCGAAGGGAACCTGGTGTGAGAGACATGAACCATGTCCTTGCTGCATCTTTCAAGGTGTACGGGAAACACCTCATTCTCAATTCATCCTCCGTCAAGTCATTCAACGGAAAGTTTTGTACTATCCCGTAGAAATCCCGGATGAAGGTAAGGGCATCCTCGGTCGCCGAGCCGTGAAAAGAAGGCAATTGACTATAGTGGACCGTCTTAAGCTCATAATTTCTTCCTGCATTGGTAAGCACTATACAAGAAGGTGAATTGCCTACTTGGGGCCTACCAAAGTCTTTCATCAGCCTAGGGTTGGGCCTGGGGTTGGGGTTAGGATTGGGGTTAGGGTTAGGGTTAGCTGGAGGAAGTGCATCCATAGTTGTGGTTGTTTCTTGTGGTTCAAAAACTGGATTTTCAAAAACTAATACTTTTTTCTTTCTCCTATTAATATGGTCGTCTAAAGGTAACAATTTAGGGTTTAAAGAACGACGACCCTGCATAAAATAAATAAATAAAATAACAAAGATAAATAAACTCAAACAAATAAATAAATAAGATAATGAATAAAGAGTAAAACGGAAATAGAGAAAACTAAACACTTATTAAGTACTTTTTTACTTTTTTTTTTTAGGTAATGGTAAGTAAAGGGGGAAAAACAATTACTAAGAAAAAGGAAAACAAAATAAAAATAAATCAAGGGATAGGGAAAACAAAAACAGATATAAAACAATATTTTATTGAATTGAATACTAAACAATTATTGAAAAAGTGAAAAGAAAAAAGGAAAAAGGAATCAAATTGCACAGTAAACAAACTAGAATCAATATGAATCAGAAAGTCAAATAACAATCAAATCAAAAAAGTCGGAACATGAATTAGAAACAATTTCTAACTCTGTATTTTAAGTCTAATATTACCAACCGATTAAAGAAATTAATACAAAATATTAACGATAAACTAATCACGCCCTAAAATCAAACAATTTAGTAAAAATCAGTAATTAAAATTAATAAATAAAATAAACAGCAACTAAGCTTAGAATTTGGGAATTGATTAAATAAAAAGTGTTCACAATTTGGGAATTGAAAATTAAAGCAAAAGAGTACTGCAATTAAACGGAAGGAAACAAACAAAGACCAGAAAAATCAATTTGCAAAGTTTTAGAAATTAACCCTTTAGCAATTTGATATATATAAACTAATAAAAACCACTGCCAACATGCAATTGAATTCTAAAACCTGGGAAGTGAAAAAAAATGCCAAAGCTAAATTGTTGTTGCTGCCGTTCAGAAAAGGATTTGTGCTGAAATTAGACTAATGAGCAAACAAGATTAAACTGTAAGAAGGAAACAAAAAAAAAAAAAAAAAAAAAAAAAAAAAAAACAACTACTAAAAAAATAAAAATAAATTGCAACGTAAACAAATTTCCCCGACAACGGCGCCAAAAATTGTTGGACAATTTTAAATATATAATGTCCTCGCAAGTGCACGAGTCAGTGTAGTGGTAGTGTGCAAAGGCAAGGGTCGAACCCAAGAGGAAGTTGATATGATACAATTTAATAAATTGAAATTGATTAAATTAACAATTTAAAGTACTAGAAACAAATAATATCAATAATTAAGATTAGAATAAACTTAAATCCAAAGTAACTGAATCAAAATGTAACTTGATAATTTAAGGTGTCTAAAGCTAATTAGAATTCAAAATGTCAAAGAATAAAGATCAATAAAACTCAGGAAGCTAAGGAATAAAATTAAACAAAGAAACCAGAATATCAAATTAACAGTTAAAGTTGGAAAAAGCTAAACACAACAATCTTAACACATTATAAGATAAACATAATTGACCGATAAAAATAAAAACTTGATTCAATGCAAAATTCTCATGATAATGAAGTCATTTTCTTAGGCAAATTAAACCAGCAGAACATTACAACCTCAATTCACTAATCACTTTTTATCAAATAAACAAAAGAACTTTAATGGTAATTAAAATTGCTATGCTAATTAGAGAAAAAGAATAAACAAAGGCGAGAATATGAATGAGAAGACAAGAAGAATTTGTGTGCCTATTACGAAGCTATGGCCGAAAGCTTTTGAATTAAACTAAGCAAATACTCTACAGAATTGCAATAGCAAATTAATGGAAGGAAAAAAAAAAAAAGGAAAAATACGTGTGCCAATTAACAGTTGTTGTCCAGAAATTTGATTTGCTTTGCCAAAGGTGTTGAATGATAAACTTCTTGCTTTAGTAAAGCCAAATTCAATGATAATCCAGAGCTTGCTTACTGCCGTCCAAGGAACTACCGCCAGGAAGAATTCAAGCCACTGTTGGACGGAAATCGTCGCCGCCAAGCACTGCCCACCGGAAATCTCCGGCTTTTGGTGAAGAACAAAACCGCCTCCGGAATTGTTCCGGAGTTAAAAACGGATGGTGGGTGGTAATTCGTGGTGAAATTCCGTTGTCAGTGATGAAGGTGATAAATGGCTGTGAGGAGGTTCGCTGAAGATCTTAGACCGAACTTTATTTATAGCCTTCGACTGCTTCTCCTTACACTATTCAATTCTTGGCATAGATGTCGCAGGAGAATGAGGATCGGCTCTTCTTTCGGGTCTTTAGCTGACTGGACCGAATCTTCGTTAGGATGGGATGAAGTTGCGCCTCTCTCATATTTTATTAATTAAAGTCCTGATCCTAACAAAATGGACAGATCTAATCTAATCTAATCTGATAATCTAATAATAATAATAATAATAATAATAATAATAATCTTATTAAATTGGGGTTAAGGAATTATTGTTCTAATATAATTCAAATAATAGACAGATTTAATAAAAATAATCTTAAAATAGATTAATATTAACAAAACTACTTATGTCAATAATAAATAAAATTAGATAAAAATTAATCAATTATTTGCAGCTTAACTATAAAAAATTATTTAAAATAACAACAAAAATAATGTTTATCATATATATATATATATATATATATATATATATATATATATATATATATATATATATATATATATATATATATATATATATGGTTCATATCAGTATTCTACTAAGAAACGAATCAACACTTAGTCAAAGATTTTTGTTGAAATAATTTATAAAACAGACAAAAAATATATAGATGAGAAGTATAAAAAATTAAAGCAAACTTATCTTTTTCGTATATATTTTCTGCCTATAATTTGTTGGTATTTTTTAGGCTTCTTTGCTGTTGATTGATGTATGTTTGTTCCTTTCTGGGCTTAGCTACGTACATCTGCATACGTAGAAATTAGGTTTTCAGGAGTATATAAATAAATCAAACTAATTTAGGGAAAATCGAAATTAAAACTTACTGCATGTGGGGAAATTGTTTCCTTAAACTGCCGATCGAGTTTAAGCTTCAAAAGTAGACGATTTGATTCCAGTTCTTCCGATTTCTGGGTTTCGATTTTTGGAGTATTTCATCTTGGACTAGGGGTTTTCATGGTTTAGAGGATGAAGCTTGAAGGATTGAAGAGAGTAGAGGTAGTTGGCTTATATTTCGTGAATCATTTATGGTTGGTGGGATGAGCGAATTGTACTGTTGTCGCGAAGGAGAGGATGAATCGCGACATTTTTGGTGAATGGCGAATGAGGAGACAGAGCGAGGGAGAGGGATGTGGAGCGATGGAATTCTGGGGTTATTGTTTGGGTTGGGTAATAACGGATTAGATATGTGGGTTTGGGTAGGTTTTGGGTTGGGTTGTTTAGTTGGGTTTCGGCCCATTTTTTTTTTAGTTTTTTTTTTTAATTATTACTATTATTATCAATATTATTATTATTATTATTATTATTATTATTGTTATTATTATTATTATTATTGTTGTTGTTGTTGTTGTTGTTTTTGTTGTTGTTATTATTATTGTTGTTGTTGTTATTATTATTATTATTATTATTATTATTATTATTATTATTATTATTATTCCTTAATTTGTTGTATTGACTAGTAGTATTGCGTTATTAATATTCATAATATTGTTATTTTTTTTGAAAATATTTAAATATTTTTTATCATTATTGATATTAATATTACTTTTTTTTTGTTATTCTTATGTTCTAATGTGTGAATTCTTTTTTTTTTTGTTAATATATTTATTAAATATGTGATTTTTTTATTGAGTTGCCTTCAATGTATTTGTATTTATAAATTGTTCATCTCGATATTTGCGTTGACTTTATAATAATAATATATTTTAAAGCATTTTTACACTTTTTTCCTTTTTTCCAATTAAATATTACGTTAAATAATGTTACAAGTAATGATTTTGTCTATTTCATATAATGAATTTGAAATTATTTTTAAATTTTCCATTTTGGGAATCAATAAATTATTGACAATTTCATCTTGGATTTTTGTTAGAGAATGTGGATAGTGTAACTCCTGAGCAGATCAGAACACGAAGGATCAATCGGTTTGGGATTCATGCACATAAATCATGCTTTGTGGGGGTCTTTGAAAATTCTCTTTATACGCCTTTGAGTGTATTAACAAATTGTAAGTTCCACAGTAATTTTATCACATTTTAAATTAAATCTTGTGTTTTTAAATTTTATAAAATGTATTTTCTTTAATGTAGGCAATCAAATCAATACTACGATATCTTCTAATGTTGAATGCTTGAATAGGCATATTGGTAGTACTAGCACTGAAGCGGGAAATTTATTTTTTTTTCTTTAAAAATGTTATATTAAATGTTAGGTAAATTTATATTTTGACTTGATTTGTTTGGTGTGTAATCATACAGTCGACATTGTTGATAATTCTAAAATCATATTGAATATTCCAAGTGTTTCAAGGCGAAGGAAAACAAATGTAACTGATGCAGGTATTTTTTGCATTTTTTCCCTAATTTTTCGTTATAATATATTGCTTTATTTTATTCTTATAGTAGTATATTCAACTAACAATAGGACAATCAATTATATGTAGACAACCTATCCAAAATAAGCGAAAATCTATTGTATGACCATTAATTGTATATAAATTCTTAAATTATTGTATACCTTTGGTAGCTTAAAGTTTTCAAAAAGTTCATTTATCTATATATGTACATTTTTTTGTGAACATTTTTTTTTGTAGGTGTGTATTTAGACAATCGGGATCCGAATTTTAAGTGTCAACATTGTGATGCATTGTTTTGATATGATGAGAGATTAAAGAGTGTAAGGGTGAATAGTTTGCCTAAGTATTCTATATGTTGTGGTAACGGAAAAATTAAGTTGGCACCTATCATTCCTCCGCCTAAGTTGATATCTGATTTGTTTTTTAGTGGCGATCGTAGAAGTAAAAATTTCTTGCAGAATATACGATCTTACAATAATATGTTCAGTTTTACATCAATGGGTGGTCGAATTGATAAACAAGTAAATTCTGGATCATCTCCACCAATCTATCGTTTGAACGGTCAGAATTTTCATTTGATGGGGAGTTTATTACCCACTGAAGGTAATTCAGCCAAATTCGCACAGCTATACATTCATGACTCTGCAAATGAAGTTATGAATTGAATTAGTGCTGTCAGGTATGTATACTAATTGTTTTCTATGTTTTTATAATATATTTGTTTGATCAATTTCTCAAATTCATTTTACTTTGCAAATTTTATAATTTTAAAAGAATGAAAGTGATGTACAAGACTTACACCCTCAAATTGTTGCTGATATTCAAGCTGTTTTAGATGAGTGCAATGTTTTGGTTAAGTCATTTCGAATGGCGAAAGAAGAAATCCAGTCAAATCCAAGAGTAGAAGTTAAAATGAAGTTGATTGGGAAGCGTAGCACAGATGCCCGTACATATAATTTGCCCACAGTTTCTGAAGTTGCTGCACTTATTGTTGGGGACTTGGATGCGCATCTCGGTGAGCGAGATATATTAGTGGAAACAAAGTCTGGATTGTTGAAGAGGATTAGTGAGCTCAATCCAACTTATCTTCCATTACAGTATCCACTGTTGTTTCCATATGGTGAAGATGGTTATAGGGAGGATATTGGCTTCAACATTGTTCGAGTAGTTGAAAATGGATCTAGACACCGTATTTCACCTCGCGAGTATCTTGCTTTTCGTATTCATGAGCGTTCATCAGAAGTTTCAACAATTTTATATGCTCGGAGATTATTTCAACAATTTTGGTTGATGGTTACACCATGGTTGAAACTGGTCGATTATTGTATATTCGCACCAATCAAAAATCTTTAAGGTGTGGAGCTTATCAGGGATTGTCTGATGCATTAACAAGAGGTGATATTGAGCCTGGTCGTCATGGTAAACGAGTTATTCTTCCTTCTGGCTTTACTGGAGGTGCTAGGTATATGATTCAGAACTATCAAGATGCTTTGGCAATTTGTGGATGGATTGTTTATCCTAATTTATTTATTACATTTACATGTAATCCAAAGTGGCCTGAAATAGAGAGGTATTTGGGAGAGCGACATTTGAGTGCTGTTGATCGGCCTGATATCATATGTCGGTTATTTAAAATGAAATTGGATGCGTTGATCAAGGAGATCCGTTCTGGATTAGTTTTTGGTAATGTAACTGCAGGTACGTATTTTTCTTTTCCTATATATACATGAAAATCATTCTTATCTTATTTCTAATTTCTGTTTTAATACTTCTTTATGTAGTTATTTATACTGTTGAGTTCCAAAAAAGAGGACTTCCGCATGCCCATATATTGATATTTCTGAGTCAAGAAGATGGTCGAGCTTTATGTCAAAATATTGATACTATAATTTCAGCTGAAATTCCAGACAAGGAAGTAGATAGTGAGTATTATAGGGTTGTTGAGGAGTTTATGATTCATGGTCCTTGTGGTCATCTTAGGAAGAATTCTCCGTGTATGGTTAATGGTCGTTGTTCTAAACATTTTCCAAAGAAGTTTGTAGACTCTTCAAATTTTGATCAAGATGGTTATCCAATTTATAGACGAAGAGATGATGGAAGGTTTGTTAAGAAAAATGGAATTGAGCTGGATAACAGATTTGTTGTACCACATAACAAATATTTGTTGCTTAAATATAGAGCACATATCAATATTGAGTGGTGTAACCAGTCCCGTTCTATCAAGTACTTATTTAAGTATGTCAACAAGGGGCATGATCGAGTTACAGCTCATTTCTACAAAAGTTCTGATGATTTAGAGAAAGGCCAAATTGTAGATGAGATATCTATGTTCTATGATTGTCGTTACATATCTGCTTGCGAAGGAACATGGCGTTTATTCGGATTTGACATTCAATTCAGAGTTCCTGCAGTTGAGAGATTGAGTTTCCATTTGCCTAATCAACAATTAGTTGTTTATGGCGATGATGATTGTGTTGATAATATTTTGAGTCGCCCGAGTGTTGGAGAAAGTATGTTTTTAGCTTGGTTTGAAGCTAATAAAAAGTTTCCCGAAGCTAAAGAGTTAACTTATGGTCAGATGCCCAACAAATTTGTTTGGAAAAAGGATGTTAGAGAGTGGCATCTTAGACGTAAGGGGTTTGCCATTGGACGTATGTTTTTTGTTCCTCCAGGTTCTGGTGAAATTTATTATCTAAGGTGTTTGTTGAACTTGGTTCGTGGTGCAACATGTTATAAAGATCTTCGTATTGTTGAGGGGGTGCAGTATAGTTCGTTTCGAGATGCATGCTATGCTCGTGGTTTATTAGCAGATGACAAGGAATATGTTGATGCGATTAATGAAGCAAGTAAATGGGCATCTGCAACTTCTATGAGGAGACTATTTATTACTATGCTTACTTCAAACGTTCTTATTCGACCAGAAGTTGTTTGGGAGGTAGTATGGATATTCTTAGCTGAAGATGCGGAGTTCAACCAGCGGAAACTACTAGATAAACCAGGTTTTTTTATTTATATTCTTTCTAAGGATTCAAAATACATACATTTTATTTACATGATTGTTCTATATTGGATCATCTGATATAAGTAACATTTAGATCTTATTTCCTTTTTTAGGTTTAATCCTCACAGATGAAGAAAAGGCAGACTATGCTTTGGTGGAAATTGAAAAGCTTTTACGATTTGGAAAAAGTATTTCTTGCTTTCCCTCTATGCCTCTGCCAAATATGAGTTCCTCATCTTCTCATGGAAATCAGTTGTTAGATGAAGAATTGTCATATGATTGTGATGCTCTTAAAGTTGAACATGATAATTTGGTCGAGAAATTGACAGATGAACATAGGCATGTTTATGACATAGTTCTTAGTGATGTTGCGAATGCTGGGGGTGGTTTATTTTTTGTTTATGGGTACGGAGGAACTGGTAAAACCTTTGTTTGGAAAACACTATCAGCTGTTTTGCGTTCTGAGGGTCACATCGTCTTAACTGTCGCCTCGAGTGGTATTGCTTCTCTACTTTTGCCAGGTGGTCGAACTGCTCATTCCTGATTTGCTATACCTATTAATATAACTGGAGATTCTACATGTAACATCTCTCAAGGGAGTGACTTGGCTAATCTAATTATAAACTCCAAACTAATTATTTGGGATGAAGCTCCGATGATGCATAAACACTGCTTTGAGGCTTTAGACCGAACTATGAGAAATTTATTACGGTTTGTGAATCCTTTGAGCACAGAGATGACATTTGGAGGAAAAACGGTGGTTCTTGGTGGTGATTTTCGACAAATACTGCCTGTGATTCCTAAGGGAACAAGACAAGATATTGTTGGAGCAAGCATCAATTCTTCTTATCTCTAGCAAAATTGTAAGGTTCTAAGATTGACTAAGAATTTGAGACTACAAAGATTGGGCAATGATGACAGTGCTGAACATATCAATTCGTTTTCGAAGTGGATAGCTGGTATAGGTGATGGTTTGATTGGTGGTCCAAATGATGGGTGTGCAGTAATAAATATTCCGGAACAAAATGTATTGCGGCCACATGGAGATTCGATATCAGCTATAGTAAATAGTACATTCCCGGAATTTTGCTCAGGTAATTTTGATATGGAATCTCTTAATGGTCGAGCTATTTTGGCTCCAACTTTGGATTTAGTGCATGAAATCAATGATTACATGAGTGGCTTGAATCCGACAGCTATTAGAACTTACTTCAGTTCTGATTCTGTTTGTCAATTAGATTCTGGTGTTGACACTTTAGCTGGTTTACATACAACAGAGTTTCTTAACACGTTGAAATGCTCGGGTATTCCAAATCATTGCCTTATGTTGCAAGTTGGATCTCCAGTTATGTTGTTGCGCAATATTGACTACACTCTTGGCTTGTGTAATGGTATGCGATTAGTCATTACTAAATTGGGAGATCATGTTGTTGAAGCGAAAGTGATGTCAGGAAGTAGTATGGGTACACGAGTTTTAATTCCAAGATTGTCATTGACACCGTCTGATCCTCGATTGCCATTTAAGTTCCAAAGGAGGCAATTTCCTTTAATGTTGTCATATGCAATGACAATAAATAAGAGTCAAGGACAAAGTCTTACAAATGTTGGCTTACTTCTGAAAAAACCTGTTTTTGTGCATGGACAATTGTATGTGACTTTGTCTAGAGTTGACAATCCAAATGGTCTTAAAGTGGTTGTTTTGAGTGAGAATGGGGAGTATTCTTCTTCAACGGTAAATGTTGTATATCACGAGGTTTTTAAAAATTTGTAATTTAGTATATATAATTATTCCAATGTATTTGACTTTTTTATATCTACTATTGTTTTTAACCTTTTTGTACTGCATATTTCACATTTTTATAATGCAGATTTGTATGTATATTTTTATTTCAAATGTTATTTATAATGTAGTTTAATTTTTATCCCGTACATCGCACGGGTGCAATACTAGTTTCACCTAAAAGGAAATAGATTTCGTCCAAAGGTCAATGGTTTATTGCAACAAAGGGAGAGATGACAATTTTTAGACACCTACCATTCAGCTTTATATACAGAAAGATCACAAGAAAAAGGAAACCCAAACATGGAATGCTTGCTTCTTGGGGGTCTGGCCAGGGTTATTATTTACAATACCCTACATAAACAAGGCAAAAAAATATGCTAAATACAATCATCTCTTCACAGTAATATTCATTAGACACTGAAAATCTGAAATTAGTATTTCCCAAGAAGAAATAATAACCATATACCAATTCTCATCACTAATACAGAATTACTTGCCAGCTAAAAAAGCAAAATGAAAACAGAGTACAACAAACTCTGTTGGAAAACTGGAGTACAGAACCATTCAACATAACCAGATAAAAGTTTCTTTAAACTATGTTTGTTGGGTGTTTAATGTTAAACACCCTTCAAAAATAAGAGTATGCCATTGATTGTAACGAACACACGGTATTCTTTAGTAAAAGGCGAAAGAATAGTTCGCTCTGTGTTCATTACATGGCTGCTTGAGTTTCAAAAGGTGTTCTGTATATGCATTTATATGAGACCGGACCACTAGCGTTTATGTTGTTTCTTCGATGTGGGAGAGGTTGTGCGCTGGTTGCAGGTTTCCTTGTTATCATTCAAGTCTTTCCATTCACTGTAATGGGACATGGCTTTAATTTGTTCACGATAGAACGGGCAGATCAGAGGAGATCAGACATGATTATTCCAGTCTTTCCAGAGCTTATCTTTCCTTGCTTAATTGACATAAATTCCAGCAAATCATCATCAGTAGTTTGCTCTTTTGTTCGTTGTTGAGGGCTTTATAAACTGCTTGCTATTCTTAAGCTTTAGCCATTTGCAAAGATGGATGTATATTACGCCAACCATACATTACTACTTATCGCAGTATGATATCAATTTGTCAAATTATTAGGAATTATAGATTTTGATGATATTAATTGATCTATTTTAGAGACTGACTTTTCAAAATTTGCATTGTAACAGTCCTTCTGTTTGAACTTTGTATATACCAAAATTAGGAATTAGTCGTTGCAAGGCGTTGTAACCAAAAGTTACCTACCCAAAAATTTGTTGTTGATAGTGTATACTATCGGCAGACCTTATTCTTTCCCATATGATCGGTAGACCCTAGTGACAAACATCATCAGCAAACCCGATCAACATATCCTAATTCCGATCCCTTGGAATTTATGTCAACAAAAGGTAGACCAATCAATTCTGGTGTTAAGGTCTTCTGATAGATGTTTTCCCATCTTACTATAAAAGAATCAACAAAAGTACAGTACTCGAGTCATGACTCAGTAGACTTTTGTGAAACATATACTAGATCGACTAGCAGACATACTTTAGACAGAGTCATTCATTTCACTTGAAAGGAAATAGATTTTACCCAAAAGTCAATGATGTGTTGCGAAAAAACAAGAGATGATATATAGCTTTTGGACACCTACCATCTCAGAAGGTGCATGTCAACATAAATATTTCAAACGTTCGAATTTCTGGTCCCCTTAACTTTATATATAGGGGACTTCTTCAAGCATAGAGTGTCTAAAGCTATGAACTCAATGCAAAATCTTAGTCAAGTACAAAGAAGACAAGCAGTGAAGAACGTGCAGCTTAGTGTCTAAAGCTATGTGAAGGATTGCAAAAGGAGTTTAGCAAGTAAACTTGTTGCGTGCCTGTAACCAACAAATCATATTCCAAATAATGATAAAACATGATTTTGAAAATTAAGAATCGAACCATACATTACTACTTAGTACTTATCATAGTAGGATATTATTTTATGCATAACTAGCAAGTATATTTTTAAATATTTTATTTAAACTATTTTGTCACTATAATTTTTTTATTCCTTATAACATTTTTTAAAGAAAATTATAAATAGTAAGAATCAATAGAAATCATTGGAACTTTGCAAGTATATATTTGAAAGTCACTAAAAATCTATTAAAATTTACCATTTAAAAATCCTTTAAAACTTTGCACTAGGATAATTAATAATGAAGAGAACAAGAGTTTAAAACTAATGGGAAAGTTACAGCAGTTATGCTTCCCCATGTCACTAGTAGTTGCGCCCGTACGATGCACGACCATGTTATTATGCCGAAATATATTAAAAATTGTTTTATTCATGATATATGGTCAATAAGGTTATAGACGTCACAAATACACAAAATAAAATATTTCATTATATAATAATGAAACAACAATTACAAATTATTAAAGATTTCTTTATAAACTACATTTTGAGTCTTATTTAAAAGACCTCTAGACTCCCCACTTATTAAGACCTTAAGACCATTTGGATTACTGACCCGAGAAACTGCAACATACAATTGGCCATGATTAAAAACATGTTTTTTTCAGTAACAAACCAACATGTGAAAGCATCTGACCTTGACTTTTGTTGATTGTCATTGCATATGATAACATCAGTGGGAACTGCTTTCTTTGAAACTTGAATGGAAGTCTTGGGTCTGAAGGAGTCAAAGATAGTCTCGGTATCAAAACCTTTGTACTTGCGTTATTCCCAGCTATGATTTTTCCCTCAATAACATGATTTCCCAATTGTGTTACTATTAACCTTGTACCATTGCACAACCCCATCGAGTGATCTATATTTCTCAACAGCATAACTGGAGTTCCAACTTTCAGCGTTAGAGAGTGGTTTGGTACACCTGAACACCTCAAGCTATTTAAAAATTCTGTTGTGTGTACTTGAGATTGCATATCAAAGTTTGACTCCGCCTTGCAAACAGAATCACAACTCAAGTATGTCATTGAAGCAGCTTGATTAATACCATTCATGTATTCATTGACCTCAACAACAACATCTAATGTTGGAGCTAATATAGCTCTATTCTCCAGTTGTCTTTCATCCATGTTCCCAGAACGGTATTCAAGAAATGTGCTTTCAACAATTTGTCTAATAGGATCAACCTCGTTTTCTAATACAATTGAAGACGATATCATTATATTGCAATCAACAACATTGTCTTCACCAAGATTACCATAACCTAAATTCGCAATCCATTTGGCAAAACTATCTAACTTCTCAACATCGTCTTCATTAGTAAGACCTCGCAATCTTAAATTCTTGGTTAGACGAAGAACTTCACAATTATTCCACAGGTAAGATGAATTAATACTGGCTTGCACTATATCTTGTCTAGTACCTTTTGGAATAACGGGTAGAATTTGTCTAAAGTCTCCACCCAACACCACTGTTTTCCCGCCAAATGTCATTGTTGAGCTCCTTGAATTCTTGAAACGCATTAAATCTCTCATTGTTCGGTCCAATGCTTCAAAACAATGTTTGTGCATAATCGGAGCTTCATCCCAAATTATTAGTTTGCATTTGATTATCAATTCAGCAAGTGGACTGCCTTGCTTGATGTTGCAAGTGGAATCTTCATTAACAGCAATTGGTATAGCAAACCTGGAGTGTGCAGTCCTACCACCAGGTAGCAGCAATGAAGCTATACCGCTTGATGCTACATTTAGAACTATCTCGCCCTTGGACCGTACAGCTGCTGAAATTGTCTTCCACAAAAATGTTTTTCCTGTCCCACCATAACCATAAACGAAATACATTCCACCTTTCTCAGTTTCAACATCTGCCATCACCTTATTGTATATGACTAACTGTTCATCAGTTAGTTTCGGATGCAACGAATTATGTTGATGCAATAGAGCTTCCCTATCATATGACATCTCCTCGAACAACAACCTGTTACCAGAAAACCAATCGTTGTTTTCATCTGGCATTGGCATAGGTGGATAATCTGATAGAGATTTGTTCCAAGCATTCAACAACTTCTCCATTTCAAGCAACGCAAAATTTTTTTTTTTTTTTTTTTTTGAGATTCATTTAGACTTAAATCTACAAAATAAGAATAAAAAAAACGTAAGATGTAATGGTTTAAAAAATTGATATGAATAATTAATAATATAACAATAAATGTTACCTGAGACTGAGAGGTTCCTTCTAGAAATATATTGAGCATCATCTGATAAGTATTGTCAAACCATCTCCCTAACATTTTCTAGCTTGGACATTGAATTGGATGTCAAAAGTGTAACAAACAACTTACGTAGCGAATGGGCTAAAGACCAAGTTGCTGCCTCAGTGATTGCATCAACATACTCTTTATCATCTTCGATTAATCCGCGTGCATAACATGCATCTCTAAATGAATTGTATTGAACACCATCTACTTGTTTAATCTTATCAAATGAAGTCGGTCCACGAACTATATTAAGTAAACATCTAAGATAAAAAATCTCACCAGTATTTGGTGGCACATAAAAGATTCGACCAATTGCCCAATTTCTTTGCCTAGGTTGTCATTCTCTTTTATCATTCTTCCAAACAAATTTGGTTGGCATCTGTGAATAAGTCAATTGTCTTCCTGCCGCGTATTTTTTATTAGCGTCAAACCAGGCCGTAAACATGCTTTGAGCTACTGTCGGTCGATTTACAACATCATTGACCAAATCGTCGTCATGAGATATTATTGATTGCTCATTGGGGAGATGAAAACTCAAGCGCTCAACAGATGGATTCCTAAATTGTATGTCAAACGCAAAAATCCTCCACGCGGCCTCAGGGGGTGAAATATATCTACAGTCATAGTACATCTTGATTTCATCTATAATCTTTCCAGTAGATTCTTCCACCCCACTATTGTAGAATTCAGCTGTGACTCTATCATTACCCTTGTTGACGTACTTGAATAAGTACTTTATTGACCTAGATTGGTTGCACCACTCCACATTAATATGAGCCCTATACTTCATAAGCAAATGTCTATTGTGTGGAACAACATATCTAATATCAAGGTCAATCCCATTCTTCTGTACTGTACGACCATTATCTCTACGCCGATATATTGGATATCCATCAAAATCCACTGTTGAGTTTTCAACAAATTTTTTGGGGAAGAATTTAGAGCACATACCATTTAGCATGCAAGGTGAATTCTTCCTAACTGCACCACATGGATCGTGAATCATAAATTCTTCTACAGCTTTATAATACTTAGATTCGCACAATTGACTTGGAATCTCGGCAGATATGATCATGTCAATATCTTTAGGATTAGGGTAAGGGTTACTCTTGCTCAAGAATATCAAAATGTGAGCATGTGGCAATCCCCTTTTTTGAAATTCAATGGTGTAAATTACTGCAAAAAACAAACAATGTGAAATTAGACCTTTAAAATTGTTAATTATTTAAAAGATATGAAACAACCAAAAATAATCAAATATATTTATGAAATCACATAAATTACCTGCATCTACCACTCCAAAAATTTTCTCTTTCTGAATGTCTTTAATTAGTGCATTTAATTTCATTTTAAACACACGACATACTATATCTGGCCTATCTTCAGCTTTGAGTTTCCTTGGTTGTAAAAATCTTTCAATCTCGAGCCACTTAGGATTACATGTGAATGTAATAAATAGACTTGGATATTAGATCCATCTACAAATTGCCATTGCATCTTGGTAATTTTACACCATATATCTTGCACCTCCGGTAAAACTCGATGGCAAAATTATGCGTTTTCCTTGGGCAGTAGGATCTACTTCACCACGTGTTAACGCATCTATCAAACATTTGTATGATTCACATCGAAGTGACTTTTGATGAGACCTAATATAAACCAAGCGTTCTGATTCTATCATGGTATAAGCATAAACCAAATATTGTTGGAACAACCGTCTAGCATAAAGCAATGTTGACATTTCATTGAACCTATCTTGCAAACGGAATGAGAAATACTCCCTGGGACTAAGTTTACTCATTGCATTTGAACTCCTTCCTTCAAGAGTAGTAAATTGTATGTCGTCTCTGTATCCGTCTTCACCATAAGGAAAGAGTAGTGGGTACTGCAGTGGGAGATATGCCGGATTTAATTCAATTATTCTTTGAAAATGTCCAGCTTTAGACTCCACCAATATATCTCTTTCTCCTATGTTTGGATCTAAATCACCAACAATCAATGCCGCCACCTCTCCAACCTGTGGCAAGTTATATGTTCTTGCATCCTTGTTCCTCTTACCGATGAGTTTGATTTTAATATCAGCTCTATGGTTACTTTCCATCTCTATTTTGGCCATTCTAAAACTCTGAACCAAAACATTAATTTCATCCAGTGCATCTTTAATGTCTTTAACAATTTCACGATGGATTGTATTGTTTGACTCATCTTCCCTGTTTGAAATAGAAAAACCCATACAATTTTATAATCTATATTGTTACAAAAATGATTTTAATTTATTTAAATTAAATAAACGTACATAACTTACCCAAGTGCAGTTATACGATTTGTGATCTCATTTTGAGTATCATAAATATACAATTGAGCAAACTTTGGTCTCTCGCCAGATTGTGGGAGCAAACTACCCATTAAGTGAAAATTTTGACCATGTAACCTAAAAGTCGGTGGTGCACTACCATTGTTGACCGTTCTGTCAATTTTTCCCCCCATGGAAGTAAAGCAAAACATATTGTTAAAGCACCGAATGTTCTTTAAGAAATGGGTACTCTTTTGATCTTGGTTAAAGAACAACTGTCTGATTGCCATAGGTGGAATATTAGGATGCGACAACTTTATCTTTCCATGACTGCAACATAGTGAATATTTCGGATTTCGAACACCGCTAGATTTATTAACTCGCTCCTCTAACCAAAACATAGCTCCACAATGATTGCATGAGTACGTTTGATCACCAATATCACTGTAATAATCTAGAAGAAAACAAATGTTATTACTCTTACCTATACTCAAATAATAAAGGTTATTACTCGTACCTATACTCACCATTAACATTTGTAGAGTTTGATGGTGTATCATGGACCACACTATCAAAAGCTGACAACAAATTAAATTGCATTGACGCCTTTGGTGTTGAGCTATTGTAATCCACAACGCATGATCTTGTTGTTTGAACTATAAGATGAAAACAAACGTTATTATTCATAAAGCAATTTATATAAATTCATATTTTTAAAAAGGATTTACTTCATTGCGCAACTTTACCATTTGTTAGATTTGTCAAAGGCCCTCGCCTTTCATTGGACACCATAGGGGTAGTTTCGAGCACGTTAGATTGCGATGTCATTGATTGAGTAATATTTTGTAAAACTATTAGGAAAAAAATTAATTTTAATACACAAACAAAAATTCCAAATATAATATAGTAAATATATATATAGATATATAATTTATAATAGAGAATTGTTTATCAATACCTCCACTTTGTCCACCAAAAAACGGCTTTTATTTTGAGATGTTGAATTAACACATGTAATCTTCTCTCTATCACTTGCCGATTGTATTGCAATTGAACACTCTAAACCAAAAATTTGAAAAAATCTCACATTAATCTCTCTAATATAAATAATGAGAATAAACTGTAATATATCATAGTACCGACAACATTGTTTAAAATAAAAGGACTAACCATCCATCACAGTTACTTTTGGTGTGTTGAATGTTGCATTTTCTGTACAATAAGATAATAAAATAAAGAATTACTAATAAATCTTATGATATAATAAAGAATTAATTACTAATAAAACCAATAAAATACAGATTTACTAATATAATTATTGATGTAAATAAGATTAATTAAATTATTACATTAAATAAACAAATTTACCCAAAAAAAAAAAAAAAACAAAGGCTATATATGTAACATCCCTAATTCAAATACAATAAACACCACACATAAGGTTCCTATATAAATAAGCGTATGTATAATATAAGCATATTAACCATATTTAACCATAACAAATATTAAGAAAATTGAAAAAACAAACAAATCTGTTTTAATACTGATGCTAAAATTCCAAATATAGTAATATAGTAAATATATATAGATATATAACATCTCATACCATTGTATACGCTAAAAGCTTGTTTAGAAAGACCTCCACACTGTGCCCCAGTAAAACGCCTCTTATTTTGAGATGTTTCATTAACAAATGTAAGCTGAGATCTATCATTTGACACTTCGATTGCTATTGAGCACTCTAAACAAAAAAATTACAAAAAGCTAACATTAATATCTCTATAATATAAATATCACTATTAAATGTACTATACCATAATACCGATATTGCAATTAGAAATAAAGGAATTACCAGCAATCGTAGTTAGTTTCGGTGTGTTGAATGTTTCATTTTCCGTACAATCATTTTCTGTCATAAAAACAATAACGATTTTATAACCAATAAGATAAATAAGTATTAATATAATTTTTGATTTAGATTTAAATAATACAATGATTACATAAAATAAACTATTTGACTGAACAAAAAATAAAACATATATGTAACACCATAATTTAAATACAATATTTGAATTACAATAAACACCATATATAAGATTGATTTAACAAAAATGAATAAAATAACCATATTAACCTAATTTATTCCACTGCGTATATAGCTACTAAGAATAAATAAGCATACTATATATTATACACATATATATACATATTATCTACTCCGTAATTTTATATATATATATATATATATATATATATATATATATATATATATATATATATATATAGCAAAAAAAAAAAAAAAAAAGAAGATCGAAGTGTCCACAATCCGATCATCACTCCCACTGTCTACTTACCTCTTCTCTCTACGATGTCTCACTCTATCTCTCTCTATCTATCTCTGTAATCCAGACGTCTTAGGCGTTAATGGCATCTGAATTTTGCATTGCCCTTATCCACGAAACACATTCTTGATCCAATCGCAGACTATACTGCGATTGGCTTCGAGAGATAGATAGAAGAGGGCGAATTTAGGGAAACCCTAAATTTGTGTTTGGGGTTTTAAATCCTATTTTTTTTGAAGCTAGATCTATTGAGATGGTTGTTTGTTTCTACGGATGCAACCTAGATGAACGCAGATCTGTATTATATAGCCCAAAATCATACGAAGCAGTGTTATTTTACCATCGCGTGAACATTCAAGGTGGTTACTTTTCATGGATCTCAACAATCGGATGAAGGTAAGTAATTTTCGTACTCATTCTTACTTAATCTTTACTATTTTTGCCCAAAAAATCGAAATGTAAATCGGTTTTCAATTCGAATTATGTGTGCTAAATTGTATGTTTGTATAATTAGGGTTTGAAACTCACTAATTTAGCAACTTAGTGTTATATGTTGCACTTGATTTCTATTAATTTGCAGTTTCTAACGTTTAGCTTTCCTATAATTACCAAGAAATTTGATTTTTGAATATAGCTATACTATATTGTTATCCTTGCTCTCCTATGATAATTTCTGCTTTTTAAACTCAAACAGATTTGAAAGATGTTTATACAGTTCATAATTGCAAGAAAGAAAAAGTTCAAAACTCATAGGAGAAGATTTATAGACAGAATATAGGAAAGACACAGAAACTATGACAGTAATTGATGTTTCGATCAATGTTCAAAGTACCTTTATTTGAAATTGTCTCCTTCCTTTTGGACCCGATGACAGTTGATTTAGTTAACTTCCTCATTGATTTGATCTGCTTAATGTTTGGAAAGTGTTTCTCTGTAGGTAGTGGGTTTAGTTGAAAATGAATTGTGTACTTTGCATTTAAATGTGATTATCTGATTGTAACTGAGTTTAAAACATAAAAGCCAAATGAAATTCCCTAGAATTTTGCTGGAATTTATTAATGATTACTTGTATTGGGAAGCAGAAAAGACACACCTTGAAAAGGTAGTATTTATTCTCAGTCTTAATCCTGGCATATGTTGGTGTCAAAACTAATATTATTTTTTCTAGCTTTAGAACAGAACTGATGAAATTTAATTTTGATGTCAACAGTCACCTAATTAGTAGATGCGTATTTTGTTTTAAAATTTTAGATCCAGTACTCTTTTTGATTCCCAGTTTATTTGATTTATTATTTTCTGTTTTTGAAAATAGTTCACAATTCTGTTTGTCTTAATTTACTCAGATTCTATCATTTGTTTTCAAGGAAATGGCACATGATGATAGTAATTTCTGATGCCATTACATTTCAGAGTTACGATATACTATATTAATATATTTGGAGTTTAGTTTAAGGTGATCTATTGAATTCCACTACTGGCAAATACCACAAATGAAGGCGTCATGTTATACTTACTTACCTGGCTAACCGAGCGTTCAAGATTTCACAACTTTGACACAAAATTCCATTGGAATTTTCTATTTATGTAAGCTCTGTAATTTGTAAACTATCTGTCTCTCGGCATAATAAATTAGATTTGCAACATTTACTATGTATTTCGCAGTTTCGTTAGCAGCTTTATGGAGGTATACTTCTGATTACTACTGCAAATTGT